AACCTGCTCTGGTCTTAGGTCTCATCGGGAGTGGACCACAAGCTATGTGGCTCCCTGCTGCTCAAGCCAAACGGCACAATCAGCATCCACGGCTACCCGCTCGCGCAACGCACCCAACACCCGAAGAGCCTGCACGGCGCCGAGAAGTTCCTCTGGGCAGCAGCAAACTTCCCACCACACCTACAAACATACATACTGGCGAACGCCAGTTCCGCAGGGTAGTCACTGCCGCAGCGGCTCGCTTCATCCCGTCCGGACGTATCGCGGAAGTCCGCCCAAATTTCCCGGCCGAAGCTGCAGTACTAGCAAACGAGCGTGACCACCTACGCCAGGTCGACCCCGGGGACCCTCGTCTGGCGGACCTTAATTTGGAGATTCGGCAACTGGTAAATCAGCATAAGCGGAAAAAGTGGGAGGAACACTTGAAGGCCTGTAACTTCACATCTGGTGTGAGTAAGCTCTGGTCAACCGTGAGGTCCCTGTCCAACCCAACGAAGCGTGATGACAGAGTGGAAATCTCTTTCGAAGGTCGCGCTTCGTCGGATCCGAAGAAATGCGCAGCCTACTTTAGTAGGCAATTCACACTGCACCCTTCGGTAGACAGGGCCAAACGTCGAGTGACCAGGAGGCTGCACAAGCTACCAAAAAACAGTGCACCACTTCTTTTCACCAGCTGTGAAGTGAAGGGGGCCATCGGGAAGGCGAAAGCCTCCAAAGCCATTGGACCCGACGGAATCTGTATGCTGATGCTAAAACATTTAGGGCCTAAGGGAGTAGCTTACCTAACGGAGGTCCTCAACCTGTCCATGGCCACTCTCATCATTCCTGATGTGTGGAAGTCAGGGAGAGTGGTCCCACTGCTGAAACCGGGGAAGCCCGCCAACAAAGGGGACTCTTATCGCCCGATAACGCTCCTTTCCCCGGTCGCTAAGACACTTGAGGCCCTACTACTCCCATACTTCACCTGCACCTGACCCCAGCGAAGCACTAGCATAGATTCCGTAAAGTGCATAGCACAACAGCAGCACTTAACGCCATAAACACCCAAATAACTCGTGGCCTAAATCGAAACCGCCCCTGTGAGAGAACGGTCCTATTTAGTAGCGCTGGACTTGTCAAGGGTGTTTGACACCGTCAGCCATTCCACGCTACTAGAAGACATCGAGGCCTCCTCACTCTCACAGGGACTGAAGCGATGGTCGGCGAATTATATGAGTGGTCGACAGTCGTCAGTAATCTTCCGAGATCAAACCTCGAAACCAAGAAGGATTAAACAAGGGGTTCCACAAGGTGGTGTTCTCTCCCCCTTACTATTTAACTTATACATCTCGAAGCTTCCTCAACCACCTGAGGGAGGTGCCCTGATCTCATACTCATATTTTGGCGTCCGGGAATGGAATTGATGACCTCTGCTCAAAAGTGAACGACTATCTCTCCAGCCTTTCTCGCTTCTTCACTGCAAGGCCCCTAACACTCTCCCCAACGAAATCAACGGCGACCCTCTTCACCACCTGGACGAAGAAGGTCAGGCTTGAGTTAGGTATACACGTCGATGGCACACCAATACCGACTGTAAACAACCCGAAAAATTTAGGGGTCACCTTCGATAGCCTGCTCTCCTACTCCGCGCACACAACCGCAGTTGTCAATAAAGTACAGAGCCGCAACAAGGTCCTCAAGTCGCTCGCCGGCAGCACTTGGAGCAAAAACAAAGAAAAGTTGCTGGCAACATACAAGGCAATTGGCCGGCCGGTTCTAAACTATGCTGCGCCAGTTTGGACGCCGGGGACTAGTTGGACGCAGTGGACGAAGCTACAGACTTGTCAGAACGCCGCACTCCGGACAGCGACTGGGTGCCTTCTGATAACGCCTGAGCACCACCTAAACAGCGAGGCCCAAGTGCTTCCCGTAAGGGAAGTGAACACCCAAACAGACCTTTGCTTCAGGAGGAGCCTCCGCCCAGGCACGTCAGGGGGCACCTATTCGTATACGAGGACGAAGTCCACCAATACGTTGACCAACCACTGGACCCGACGACATACAGACGAGTCATCAACGACATTCATAGAGTCAGTTACCACCTACCTCGACTCTCGACCAATGAATGCCGTAATAGCAGCCCAATCACCACCTGTAGAAAAGACGGAGCTTCAACTGCCAAGAGAGACCCGCGTTACCCTGGCTAAATTACGGTAGCCACCAAAAATTGTAAACAACGAACAAATGTAAATGAACGGCTAATGTAAAAGTCGCTCAACTTTTTTCCTAAATGCGATTATAACGGGTTATTAAGAAGAAGGCGTGATCTTGTATTTTTGGTTCATGCATTAAGGGCCGGTTGTTCAATGTCTGATTAGCACAAATCGGAGGTAGAAGCTCCGGTTAAGCACAACTACTGCTTTATCGATCACATGTTACATGCATGATGTCGAAATCGTCGATAGTGTAGTGGTAGTGATAACCAGACATTGAACAACCGGCCCTAAACGAGGTTAGATCGCCGAAACAACAGCCCTTGGTCGGGTGAAACCCGAGTCATTCCGGTACGTAGAACCGGCTGTCGTGGGAATGTACACTATCAACTTGACGACAACGACTGAGATACCAACCGATCTGGGCGGGGTTGTTGTAGCCGCTACAACAACAACAGCCGGTTCCTCAAAGCCTGGTTGACACTAATTACCGGTTAACATCGTTATCGACGTTTTCGACTCCATACATATAATACGGTGTCGGTAACGTCGATAACGATGTTTAACCGGGGATTAGTGTCAACCAGGCTTTGACCAACCGGCCCTTAGTCCCTTTTCAGACACGTCAAGTCTTGAAAGCAATTTTTATCGCATTCTCTTTTGTGTTTTCTATTTGCTTCCACACGCGTCAACTTTAATTGAATTCAAGTCCTTGGTTCTTAAATGGGAAGCAACGAAAATACCAAAAGAGACAAGAAAACTTGAAACGAATTGACGGTACGGAGGTATCTGTACTCTTCCCCTCTCTTCCCACCTCCTTCGCCAACGAACGAGCAGACTTGAAAGCAAAACTTGACGTGTCTGAAAGGGGACTTAGCCATTCAACTTTTTTTTCATGCAACCCTGCGTGAGTTGAACGCAAAATCGCCCGTGCGAGCATTTGGAAATGTACAGGGCCTTGATAAAAACATCAAGCTTTTATTTACCTTTGAGCATAGTTTTTATCTCTTTTGTATCATGGTTTTTATTACATTATACCTTTGAGCAAAAGCTGCACAAATAAATAATTGAATAAAAAAAAAATGGTGATTTTTTACTCGGGCTTATTGGCAAACATCCCTTGCCATTACAGTTTATTCTTAATTTAAGTAATCTGAAATCTAAGCCACGCCACTGATATGCAAATTACAATAGTTAAGTGCTATAAAGTTGAGGATAAAAGAATTTTAAAGTACGAGCAACGAGGATTTGAGTGTAAGAAAGCCGCAGTGAGTTGGAAAAAAAGTAAATCTTGCCTGTTGCGGTATCCGATGGATACCATCCGCACGGATCTAATCCGATTCACACTGCCATATCAAGTGAGTGAGAGGGATTAACCTCATGCCAATGGCATCCCTCCGATGCATGCCTATTCCGGTTCGACAAATTCCATTCGCACGAATCTAATTCTTCACACTCGCTTGTTATGACAATCCGAATCGTATTAGATCCGCGAATGGCTTCCGTCGGATACCACAATAGGCATGAATACTTTCAAATAAAATGTCCGCTGTAAACACAAAAATTCATGACCCTATTACGTATGGCGACTGGGGTCTAGTTGCTGGTCTAGAAACCATGGCTACCAGTATTTTAATTTGTATTATGTATAGCGATTAATCTCGGTATACAGAAAAGCGCAGAAAATATCCGAATCTACTTTTTTGACATGAACTTAGAAGGGAATTGGCAACTTTGCTCCAATGTGTTGAGCAATTTATGTGAACAAATAACGAAATCGTCGATAGCGGGAAACACAAAATTTCGCTACTAGACTCAGTAGCCAACAGTCAGTAGCCAGTAGCCATAAGTAATACGAGTTTTAGTAGATGGTTGCCCATCGGCTATCAGTCGCCGTACACAATAGGGCCATCAGTTTCAGCTTCCAGTTGCCAATTGCCATATGTAATACCATTACAGACACTGGCAACGCAAATGAAGTTCGGTTCAGTTATAATTCCTCCATGCAACTCTACAAGCTTTATCGTCAAGTAGGATTAGTTGAGTGTCTTTAACGTTTAGGACGAGATGGCTAGTGTCATGCTGTCGAGCCTGGAAAGGCAGGCGTTTAACCTACAAGTATCCAGTCCGAAGTTTTGCCAGTGACAAAGTTCTCATTAGACAACTAAAGTTCTTCGCCATCAAAAGTGGCACACCCGATTTATAGTTATCAAACTCTTGACGTCCTCATACTGCAATAATTTACAGACCAAGAAGTACGAGTAGGAACCAATAAACGAAGTTACGAACAAAGCGTAGTGGGTGCAAACATGTGTCAAAACGAAGGCTGCTGGAAGTCCAGCCTCCTTCCAGGTGCGTCCGATATTTATTTATCGGATTTGCCTAATATGATCCGAAAATATCTTTAACTGTCTTATGGAAACATCTGTATCTCTCGACAATTCCAAGGCCCGACTACAGTAATAGTAAAACACTTGCATGCTTTAAATTAATAAGAAATGCTAAATAGATTTCTTGTTTGAAGATATCATGACTGTAGCCATCTCCTGTAAAACTGTCGTAATTGCTTCAAACTGTAAGTACCAGATGCAGACTTACCTGGTACAATTTTGATTGAAGTCTTTTGTTTGATAATGTCGAGAGAAAAGAAATTTAAAAACAGCAACTGAAAACTTAAGCAGGTAAGATGAGGTAGTGAGTAGTGTGAAAGTAAAGATGAGATGAATTTTTGTTTATGTTGTTTGAGAAACAGTTTGAGTGAACAGCTTTACGACACACATTTTAATGTTACAAAAAACGCAGCATTCATTAATTTTTTAGTTTTTGTAGAAATTTAGTCAAATTGCAGTTGAATTTTGACGGGTGTTTATTTCTTTGACTTGATTTTCTTAAGATAGAATTCTAGTTCTTTGCCTTCTAGAATGTATCCATCAGATCGGCCACATTGACCCGGGCGGGATGATACGCAGGCTGTAAAATACAATTAAAATTAAATATTAGCAAATATAAAAATAGCTTAAGAAACAAGATGAAAAGTTCAAAGTAAAATCAGAGTAACTATGACAAGCTATTATCACGCCCAACAGGCTTATACCGCACTTAGAACAAGTTTGGTACAATAAAATTGTTTGGATCGCTTAAGATATTAACATCATTTTTTATTCGATCTTTTCTGTTTCTGTTTAAAACACACTTACCAAGGATACGTCCAGAGATGAATTGATCTTCCAATGCAGGATCAACTTTAGCAAACTTTTGACGTTCCAAGTACTTTTTCATCACTTTTTCACTGCGCTTTTTATTCAGTACATCGTTCTCATCTTCAGTTTTCTGGTGTTTGGGATTACGTTTACGTCCCAAAGGCAGCACATAGTGCGACTCATACCATTGCCGGAATGGTGTGGCATCAATGACAACAATGCTGTTCTTTACCAAAGTCTTGGTACGCACCAATTCATTGTTAGAGGCATTGTAGACAACATCGGCAATACGAGTGCGGCGAGCAATGCCCTCAGACGCCCATGCGAAGTTACCGGTTTCTAGACGCAGTGCGCGGAATTTAGTGTTACCACCGCGTGTGCGTACTTTATGAACTCGTGGAGCACCGAGCTAAAATGAAAAGTTGATAACGGTTACTCGAAGCTTTATTAAATAGATGACAAGTTGTATGTAATATATTTATGTATATCAGTAGTCCGAACATAATTATGCATTCATCAAAAACTGTACAGGTCCAAAGGGAACTGAACGCGCTTACAGTTAACGTAGTTAATCATCAGTATACCTAGTTGAGTGAGTAGTATACAACATTGCAACTCATAAGATGCAATACTTTTCCTTACCTTGGTATTGGCTGCTGGGCGACCCAACTCAAACTTGCGCTTCTTGCGGAGCGACTTGCGTTTGCCACCAGTGGAGCGGCGCTTATGAGCACTATCGCGGCTAATACCTAGGAATATAATTAAGTTTGTTAGATTGCAAATTCTTACTTCAAAAATTACAAATGAATTTTCAAGAAAATCCGCACACTATCACTTCAAACTTCGCTGATATTTCCAGCTCTGGTCTCTGCCAATCACCCATAATTTATTTGGTCAATGGCGACTTCACAATTGAAATAAGTTGAATATATCATACCTCACATTCTAATGGTTACTTTATAAACATTTTTAAAATGTTTCCACATTTTAACAGCACGATGTATTGGGATTTTCTTGAAAAATTCTAGCACCAAGCAAAAGCCGAACTCACCCATTTTGAGTAGAAACAGAGAAGGAAAGGAAGCAAAAAGAAACCAAACTCGTGTCAAAAAATCAGCCCTGGCATTTTTGGCATTTGCCAGTAATAGAAGTTGCGATATTTGACAGCCAATTGTAATAGAAGCGCGCCATGACATGGCGGTTGCACGTCGATTTGTCTAACAACGTATATCAAAGAACGTATGCACAAAACGTTAATCCAGACATTTACGTTCTTTGGCTAACACCCGATTTACATGATTCAAGTACTTGAAAGCAATTCTTGCACATTCTCTTTTGTGTTTTCTATTTTCTTTTACACGTTTCAATTCTGTTGAAGTCAAGGTTTTGGTTCTTTAAATGGGAAGCAACGAAAATGCCAAAAGCAAAGCAAGAAAGTTGAAACGACTTGACGGTACAGACGCATGTGTACTCGTCCCTTTTCTTCTCACCCCCTCTCTTCAACATGCGAGCAGAATTGAATTCAATACTTGAACTGTGTAAAAGCAGTCTAAGTCTAGAAGGAAAATAGTTAAACTGGCAACACTGATTGCGCCTTGGATTCGGCCATCCATTTTAATTAACTTGCTGGCAATCTTGTTGTACATATTTCTGCATTTTACAAAGGAAGAAAATAGGAAAGATTGAGGCGCTTATTTTATATATTTAATTACTGCTGCAAACAGTTAAAGTAGGAAAAATACAATTTCTTTGTTACAAATAAAAATGCTAAGGGGTGAAATGCATGTTTTCAGATTTGCATATTTTCGGATTTTAATTGGATTTACCGCATAGTCCTGCGATTCTGCTGCCAAAGCTCTCCAGCAAACGCCCTATCCGTTTTCACAGCGATCAGCAAGCCCATATCCACCTTTAAATAAGCGAGGAATACATACTTGACAATCGTTTCGACACAAATATAAAAACTACAGGGTTTTCAACAGTTGCAGAAAAATGGGCAAATGGAGCGTAAAGGATATGATCAAAATAATAGAGTTGTTTAAGTCGCATCCGTCTCTGTGGGATCTGCATTCACATGAGTATAGGATGAAGAGAAAAAAACAAAAGGATATTCGTTTCATAGCGAACTCTATGGGTGTAGAAAAAGCTATCATAGATAAAAAGTGGAAAAGTCTTCGCACCATTTATAAATCTGAGCTGAATAAAATTGAGGCAAGCAAGAGGACAGGCAAAGAGTATGTTTCACCATGGCGATATTTTGGCTATATGAGTTTTTTATATCAAAAACGTAACCATAGTCAAGTAACAATCAAAGAATCAATGAGCCCAGTTAGTAATTCGCAAGCTAAAATTGAATCACTGTTACAATAACTTCTCTTATTAAATATAGCTTAAAATGGAATGCGACGAGTCAGATCATAATGAAACTATTGTCGATACAAATCACAAAAGTGTGAGCGGACATGAGGAAAGCAACCAATCGTCAGGAGATGGTAAGAAAAGGTAAATACATTTTTTTCCTTTTGTTATCAGTTTCGAGGCTTTCTAAGGTTTACTTTTCCTTCCTGGCAGTGAGGTGGAAAATAATAAGTGGAGCGAAGAGAGAATTGTTGAACTTATTCACTATTTCGAAGCTCATCCGTTGCTGTGGAATCCAAATGATGAAGAGTTTAAGATAAATTATAAAAAAGATGAAGCTCTTTCACAGATATCCAAATTGATGGGAATACCAAAAGAGGATATTAAAAAGAAATGGAGGATTCTACGTACCCAATTCAAATCAGAACTGAATAAAATGCGAAAAAGTAAAAGTATAGATGATTTGTATGTCTCGGACTGGCGCTACTTAAGACCACTGAAGTTTCTGTATGATAGCTGCAATGCGGAAGAAAGCAAAGAATATTGCTATGTGAGTAAAATAGTTTTCAATTTTTCCTCTTATTGAAATATTACTAACAAATTATGTAAAATATGTATTTAGATTTTCGATCAGGGTAACGACTCTGAAGACGATGAGAATACACATCTGACCTTGTCGAATTGTGAGCTAGAGAAAACCATGCTTGAAGAATTCCCTATTTCGACGTAATAATTTTTTTTTATTTTTCAATGTTGAGAATTGTATATTTTTTTGATTTTCCTTCTAGCGAAGTAAAACGGGAATGGAGCCCCCAATCTATTTATCAACTAATTCAACAATACAAAGAACATCCATCTTTGTGGGACAAGTCTACAAAAGATTCCAGACTCAAGAGCATAAGAGAAAAAGATATTTGCCAAGTGGCTGAAAACATGGGTATGGAGAAGGGTGATATAGAAAGAAAGTGGAAGAGCCTACGAACGCACTGTTCTGCCGAGTTGAGAAAAATTAAGGAGAGTCACGCAAGCGGCAGCAACCGAGTTTACTTTTCAAATTGGCGTTTTTTAAAGGCTATGAAGTTTGTATACGATACCTGCCAGGAAAACGAAACATGTAGCAATGAAATTTCTTCGGTAAGTCGAATAGCATAGTCGATGTTACTTGATGATTGTATAACAATGTTCTACTTTCGCAGTTCCCCTGTGAAAGTGATGATTCCTTGATGGAAATTACTGTTGTGCAAACCTCGCAAGACGAAGAATATGAAGATGCAAAAGAATGTGAAAATTCTTATGGCGGAGAAGATGAAAATCAAAATCCTAAAAGAAAGCATGAAACTGTCAGGGAGGAAAACGATTCAACAGTGACTAAGCTGAGAAAAGTGGAGCAATCCTTCGAAAATAACGAATGCGATATATTTTGCTCGCTGATGGCGACTAAACTTCGCAAACTAAATAGCAATCTTAGGGATGAAGCTATGAGAAAACTTATGCGGGTCATGTGGGATTTCGAGGATGCTCAAAAACAATCTTCTAGTATGCCATCGCCTTGTGATTCATTTGAAAATATATAAATCGTCATAAGTTTAAGAACTACAGTATTCATTGTCAAGAATATGTATGCTTGGTATATTTGATGAAATTACATGATTCTTGATTGTTTATACTTGAGCAAACATTTAACAAATTTTGGACCGATAGTTTTTTGTTGCAAAGCCTTAACTGCTTAAGTAAAGTAAAAACAAAGTTCGAGTCTATTTTTTTCCAAATCGTACCAAAATAGAGATTTCAAGGCAGGTTTAAATTCTTAATAGTTGTTTCTTTTTTACGCGATAGTTTTTAATAGTTGTTATGACTTTTCATGTTTTGGCGTTGTCGCAAGCAAAAACTAGCATAGGAGGGGTAAGAGAGTGCCAAAAGACAATTGATTTTGAGTGCAAGTTGCAAGTTTTTTCTGGTAAAATATTTCTTGTAATATTTTGCCAGCAAGAACAGTGAATTACTGACCTGCTGTTTCCTGCAAAGGAATCCATTTTTGTATTGAAAACTTTTTATTAAATTTCATAAACTAGTAAGAACTTCCAAGGTTAGGGCTTTCGAATTTTTTCGATATTTCCCTTATTGAGAGGGATTCTCGGAAAGTAGGGCATTGGCAAGTTACTGGCTTTCTTTTGCTAGGGTATACAAATTCAGCGTTTCAAAATGCTACATTCAAATTTTATCAAAACTAGTTACATAAGTTCCTTTCGTTTATTGGCACAGATACATTTATTTGCTATCTGTTGCGTTAGCAATGAAAAAACTGTTTGGAGAGCATAAATGCAAAGCCAAGCTTTCTTTTCTAACCAAATAAGATCCTAGAATAGTCACAAAAATTGGCCTTTTATTGACCTCTTAGTATTTGTGCGAAGCTGACAATGAGTGGTAAAATTTTTTGATCGAAAAGAAAACTCCACCAGCTTTAAGAATATACATATACATATATGTACATATGTACATGCATATACAAACGGCGCACCTTTCAACGCCCACCAAATTAAGAAAATAAGAATATATACACATGTGTAAGTAAATAGTTTATATATCGGTTTATTTTGAATTTATTGCTTTGCATTCCATACATACTTCATATTGAAAGTTTATTTTAATTCTAACTTTTAAGCACATGCGTACTACTATGCGAAAATTTTAATTTTTTCTCTTTGTTTAATTGTATTTGAATTCCTTTAATAGTAAGTTTACATTGTGGTTTATTTTTATTGTATTCCGTAATTTTGTAAATAAAAGTATGCAAATATATCGTTGCCTTAATTCACAAAGGCCCTAACCAAACATTTTTTGTTTTTTATTTTACAGGAAAACCAAAAAACATTCAGCCTCATTGCGAGAGTCGTGTCTAATGCAAGTCGTTTTTCGAGAGATGGAAACGGAAAAATCTTGGCAGCACTGCATAGTTAGTTTTCGACGATTTTCGTCGTTTACTTATTTCGACACGGCAGTATACAATACCAATGTTGTCGGGTCGTACAATCTAGCCTAATTTACGACCGAGAGAATGATATATCCTAATAATATATCCTGCCAAAATTTGTGAAAAAAGCAATTTCGAAAAATGCGTTGGTTAGGGCATTTGTGAGTTAAGGTGACGATATGCATGCATGTATGATGTACATACAAGAACGTATACATATATGTAACTTAGAAATGTGTTTTGAAACTTCACATTTAATTTTTTTATTACTCCTACTATTCAAATACAGTCTACATACATATGTATGTACATATTTGGTGTGACTGTATTTACTGAGATTAAAATGAGTTTCAATTAGCCAAAGCTTTGAATCATATTGTATTGGAAATAGTTTTTGATATTCCACCTATGTAAATTAAGTTTAACAACGTTTGGAAATGTCATTCTTGTTTGAGTATTGAATTTATCCTACAAGCGCAGACGGATCAGTCTGGTGCCAGGCTTGAAATTGGCGTTAGACGACTTTCGTTCAGAAGGAACCCTGAAAGTGAATGCTGGCTGGACTAGAGGAATGAAATTGTTAAAAGCCCTTTAATATATGATGTTGGAAGTATGTGTATATATTCCTACTAAGTGATCGCATCAATGGTCGTCGGTAAGTGGTAAACTACTGGGGTTCCAGACTGTATCTGTTGCGATGAATCATTAGGGGAATCACTACATTCGCACGAAAGCGCTTCTACCTATAGGAAGCCTTCGAATCTTACCAGACTAATGCCGATTTACCGGCATGCACATGGAGCTTCGCCATATTGCTGTCTTGTTGATGGTCACCTGAAAATCTACTGAAATATTGCAGAAATTGTGCAGTAAAAAATGTTATGTTGCATTTAAGTAGTGAAAAGCAACAGATTGTCAAAATTGTGTTCAAAAAGCACCCAAACTTTGACGTAGAATGCGATTTATTCAAGGTCGAACACAACCTATATTTCTGTGTTCGTGCATGTGTACCGCAGTACGAATAAATATGTAATACTAAAACATACAGGCAGGTTCTGCAATTCACTAATTCACCTCCGAGTGAATTTCAGCCCCTGCCAATTTGAATTCAAAGCACATTTTATTGAAATTCACTCGGAAGTAAATTGCAGAACCCGCCTGATAACTTGTTATCACAAGTAACTTCACTAAAGATGTCAATTTGATACCAGTTTTGACGATTTGGTGTGGTGTGAATCGCCATTCAGTTTTCAATGAGTTTTAAATGTTTAATAAAAGAAATTTTTTTTTCTAGCGCTTTCTGAAAGCAATTTTTTAACTACTTACAATTTAGAACGTGTATGTCATAATATCAAACTCATCAATTTGGTTATTTTAATGCATTTAATGGTGTGCATTCAGAACTTTTTTTGTTTTTATAAATTCGAACTCTTAATAAAAATATTTTTTAATCGAAACTAACTTGCCATCGTAATGAATGCGTAAAATTATTAACTAATCATATTTAACTAATTAATTATATATCTAATACATATATATATATACTTAAGAGATTTTAACTGGTTGCAAAAAATGCGTAACGCCTAAAACTATGCAGTGTAAAAATATCTACGCGTGGTAATACATAAGTATGTATGTAACATTAATTCGAGTTGATATTTTGTTTGTGTTTCCGTTTTAAGTATGGATACATATGTATATATATAATAGGTAGTTACTTATAATAAAATAGGTATAATTTTTTAAAGAACTACACTACTTCTACAGTGCTGCACTGTTGATACGTAAGTATATGTATATGTATGTAGTATGTATGAGTGTGTGCTGTTGGTATGTGCCTGGGCGGACTTGGATTTCCAATGGAGATTCCACATTCTGCTGCTGCTGCTCTTTTCACGGCACCAACATTTAATTGCTTTTGCGCTGAACAACTTTGCTTACAAATCTAAATGTTTTATTACTAATTACATACATACTCATTAATAATTACAAATACAATACATCCTTACTTTCGCTGACATACTCATAAATTAATTTGTGAACGTCCGCTTAGTAGCATTTTTTTACATACAATTATAATATGTATGTATGTATGTTTAACTTCTTCGATATATCACAACAAATTGGTATGAAAACATAATATAAGCGAGTAAAATAAAAATTAGGATTAGGAAACAAAGCATTTAAGCTTGAGAAAATGTAAAACAATTTAAATCTACAACATTATTGAGAGCACTTCACGAAAACGGTGGCGGTAATACAATTGGATCGAAAGTTGCTTGTTGGAAATTTGTAAAATTTTCAATCTTACGATAACCCCATAAATGCATTGCTTCTTCACAATTATTTTGTATGTATTGGATCTACAAAAAAAAATTTTGTTAAATATTAGTATAACCTTAAAAGTTTGACACTCTTACCTCGTCCACTCGCAGGTCTTGTTTCCAATGAAATGGTGCAGATTTGGAGTCCCGATACGTCGAGCTAACTCCACCAATATTTACTTTTGTATGCGTATCGAGAAATTCTTCAACGAGAGGATCGAATGGGAGTCCGTAGAATTGTAGCACCTCTTGGGTCATATCGTACGTATTCAGAGAGAGATCTTCATAGCGCAAAGTTCTAAAAAAATGTAAAAAACATATAAACATACAAATGTATGTTAAGACAAAATTAATAAAGGCTCAGTTAGTCTAGACTTAATTTACGTAACACAACCTAATTAATATACATATATTGGCCAACGCAATATATTTTTGTTTAGGAATTTTCTGCTGTGGCTTATAGGCGGCAAAGTGACAATCAGCTGAACGGAAAAACACAAAAGCAAAATATTTGCGCTTCTGGATAAGCTGACGTGTTGAGTAATCATTGACGATTTCTTACGTAAGTTAAGTCTAGACTAACTAAGCTTTAAGTTTCAAGAATTCTTTAAGAATTTACTTGGATACCCATTCTGAAATTTTCCTCTTATTTATAATAGCTCCTGCAGAATTCTTCCAGTCAATTGTATGTCATTCGTAATACGTTCGGTATTAAAAGGCCGCTTCACACCTGATCAAATAATTAGTTTTAACTATCACTGTTGTATAACACCAATATTTAATTTGCGATCGTAATCTTTGTTCTTCGCCAATTGTATTCTTGCCTTTCCAGGAAAGTTTACAGTCAAAAATAACTACCAGAAATTAGGATGCTTTAGACATTTAAAAATTTTTCAAACTAAAGTAAGGATCATACGATTTGTACATTTGTACATTTTGGCAGTCACAGAGTTGTTGTCTAGAAATAAAGGCCCGTAGTCATAGTCAAAATAAAGTCGACTTTAAAGTTAGTTGCAGCTTTTTGACATAATTTTCAATGGGATATCTGTCAAAAAAGCTGCAACTAACTTTAAAGTCGACTTTATTTGACTATGACTACGGGCCAAAGAGTTTAATTCAATAACCACTGTACAAATGTACAAATCAAGTGATCCCTGCATAAGCGCCACTGTACAAATGTAAAAATCGTGTGGTCCCACACATACGAACCAGAGCTGTCAAATTATTTTAACACGTACTTTTATGTGGACAATTATTTTGGCGGCGACAGAGCTACGCTATAGGGCTGGGTAACTCACTGAATTTTATCGAGTTAACTCAATGACTCAATCTCATTTCTATTAGTCAGCTCAGTGAGATGGCACAATTGAGTTATAACACCCTGCTGTCGAGGAAACACAGCCTAGAGTGGGTTAGCGCTGTTAGTTAGCACTGTTTAGCTGATGAGCGCTGCAGACCTGGTTTGCATTGTAGAGCTGTTAAAAAATAGAGCTGGTATGCGCTGTAGAGCTGGTTTACACTGTAGATCTATTAAGAGGAAATGAGTTGGTATGAGCTGTAGAGCTGGTGCGCGGAATAACTTGAATGAATTGTACATTTTCACAACTATTAAATTTTTCGCAATTTTCTCGTCTTTATTTTTATTCTTTATTCTGAGGACCGACTATGTGGCGAATATTTATTGAGCTACTGAGTCATATTTCGTTTTAAAAGTGAGTCTGAGCGTGCGACACATTGCTGGGAATCAGCTCAATAGCTTCGCTCAGTGCTGAGTTACCCATCTCTACTACGCTACAACTGTGGTTGTGGCCAGATTAGATCTATTTCTATTTTTCCAGCGACAGATAAAGTTCTTCCTCTTCTTTTATGTCAAACTCATACAAATTCTTGATGCCGCTGCCGCGTTCAGAAAATTCATGTCCCCACCGACAAAGTGTTTAGATAATGAAGATAACAAATTGGAAGCTGTGGCTCATAGCTCGTCGTGGTTTCAATGTGTTCAGCACCTTTAACTTTCTATTTGATAGCTCCTGTTAGATAGGAAGAGTTCGCTTTTGGAAGAACTCGGCACAACACTGCTACTTCCAGTCCTTATAACTTGGTTAGCTCAATACATAGATGATCCTTTGTCGGGTCGAATTTTATTTTGGACTTGTACAGTCATTTTTTTCTTTACTAATAATATACTTTCACTTTTTTCAGAGCTCTGCTACCGAGGAAATTTCTCGAAAAGTTACTGTTTCCTCCAATTGGGCCTATTCATACCGCTGGTGAATTGGTCGCAATTCGAGTTGCAAGGATTACTCAATTTCCCTGCATATTTTTATTAAAGCTGACGGTAAATATCATAACAGTGATGGGTAAAAAGGACTTTGGTTCACTGTCCCTGGCCTCAAAAAAGCTGTTGTCTGTTTGGGTGTACTCAGTTTTCTACTTTCGCACAGCCAGAAGAGGGCAAGGGTAGATGTTACTTCAATATAGAGTAAACAACTTTCCCTTATAACAAGTATTTAAGTATAATTCCCTGGGCCCCCAAATGATAACCATAATATTTCAGCGAAAAAAATTATTAGGAAATATTAGAAAAAGCTTAACTGTCGTAATAACGTAACCATTACGTGATTTAATTGAAAAAGCTTGATTATTATTAATTTCTCTTACCTGAAACGTGATGAATGCTCCTTTAGCAGTTCCACAGCAGCATGATAATCGGCCACTAAATCTTGACACACGTAATGTGGATTTTCACAATCTATGTTGCCAGCACACCAATCGCGATGCTTACGCGACTGCATTGTGCCACGTGGATCGCGTACCAACAAAATCATTCTTACATTCAAGCTGAAAATAGAAAAAGAAAATGGAGAAAATGGTATGATTAAACTATTAAACAGCAGTAAAAAAGGTAGTAGTTGTTTGCGTGAATGGGCAATAGAGAAATTTGCGTGAAGCAATGTTGCGACTAATTGTCACAAAATTAAAACACAATCCAAAGAAACAAAGAGTGTGGGCAATGCGCGTCGCCAACCAGCAGGGGATAACCAGTAGTGAAAATAAGTAGTAGTAAGTATGTTATGACCATGATTGTTGAGAGCAACTAGGAATAGTTTAGTTGAAATTCAAAGAAAACTTTTTTTGTTGCAGCTCCTGAGCCTTAATCGCTAACCAAAGAGAAGTGGGAACTCGAACAATCGATAACGGTATCTAAAGGCATATTTACAGTTAAAAATAAGAGTTACGTACACATGTACATATAGAGTATTTGCAGAGTAAATCGCGCATTAAAACTGTTGTTGACACTTAATAGGTTCTTAAACCAATATTTATTCTTTCTATTTATGAAAGCACAAGCATTTTTATTAATAATGGTTCATTATCAAACATACGCCTTCAATTCTATGAAATTAGAAAATTTATTTGCAAAAAAAGGAATTAATTGCTAACTACGAAAAGGTAAAATTCAAAAATTTTAGACCGAATGCATAGTACAATGGCCGAATGTAAATGCTAAAGACGGACTTTAAGCAATTAAGTTAATACACAGAAATCTCCCACCTTTCCGTTGGTGCTCGGGCTTAGCTGAATCTCCATTCAGCCCTTCCCTGGACTGGAGTAACGCAGCCGCTCCTGCAGCTTCTGCGCTGTCCTCTTTTCCAGCTTAGGGCTGCTGGCGAACTGCGACCAATAACTGCCGCCTCCTAATCCAGGGTGTGACGCGACACCGTGCCTATTGGTCGGTTTGCGGCTTTTAACAGCGCCTTCTCGATACCGGGTCGCCTCGAATAGTAACGGTGGCCTTACCGCGACAAGGGGCGCTGGCGCGGCGAACGTTCGAGATCCCCGGCAGATTTGTAGACTTCTACGCCAGGCAGGTCAGGCACACGGTCGTAAGGAAAAGATGAAGACAACTAAAGAAACAAACAACCAAAAAAAACAACAAACAAGCAACAACAAAGATGAAACAAGTACAAACAAAGAGCAATCAAGCATAAGGCACGACAAAGGTACTCCGGCACAAACAAAACCGAAAGGCAAAAAGAAAGAGAAATGGAGGAAGAACTTCTTGATACCAAAACAGCGCTCTTCATTGAGCACGAGAGAGAAGACGATGAGCCCTCCACGACTAGTTATATATTCCACGAAAGGGCGTTGAGAGACACCGATAACGACAAGAGGTACAGAGGTAAGCAGCACGTCACGCGGCTCCAGAACGAGGCAGTACATAAGGTACCTATAACAAGGTAGGGCTCCTGAGGTCGCCAGTGGCTCTCGCCAGATCGCCCCAGCAGGAGTCGAGGAGACATGGCAAAGAGTGCGATGGCAAAGCCACCGAGGTATCCGGCAGTACGACCGCACCCGCCGAAAAGTGAAAGAGCGGGCATTACAGCGACAAAGCAGAAACCAATCCCGCTGAAAAGCGCCGCGATGAGCAATTCCGGTATTCGGACAGAAGGTACGACAAGCGCGCTGGCGAGACCGCACCCGCTGCAAAGCGGAAGAGGTTCCGGCGAGACCGCATCCGCTGCAAAGCGGAAGAGCGGGCAATTAACACTCCAAGCTTCCGCTCCGAAGAAGCAGCGAGAGCTTATTTGACATTTCCATCAATTATAGTTTTTAAATAAAAGAACTGATGCACCCTATGTGATGGGACTGCTAAGGCCGTAAAACGAAGGTCTTAACACACCAGCGTGGCGCGTCATCTCGAGCAGAATGGAGGATGCTGGCGTACGTCTAAACGTGGGCATAGACGAAGATTCCTTCAATAGTCAGTGCTGAGTATAAGCTGAACTTTAGGTTCAGCTATATCACAATGAGGTTCTGGCGTCAAAAGGCAGCGGAATAAGAAAAGGCAGCTGTCAGCGTGGTACAACTACTAACAACAAATGGCTGCCCTCAGGGAGGGGTTTTATCCCCTCTTCTGTGGAGCTTAGTGGTGTGTGACAATTACAAACACCATTGTCCACAATATTCCAGTATTGTCACTGTCGTTTCCAAAAATCGCCACAATGGCCAACAGGCGTGTATGAAAGAGGAAAAATGTCGCCGACAATTCTGGCTCTGAAATTTTTCGGAATAATCGACAATTGTCGCACCTGTCACTTTTATGAAACAGGCACCTGGTCACCGTATATATTGTACAAATTGGTAATAAAAAATTACCATAAAAAAAAAAAAATGCAAATAAGATGCCATTCTTTTCAATCGAAATAATCTTATTTCTTTCTTTCTCATTTAGCAATAAAAAATTAACCACGTTTCTAATAAAAAGGTGTGACTTTGAAACCTAAGTAGGAAATTATAATTGATGAACAATGCCATGGATTTCAGAAAAATTTAACAAAATAATAATAAAAATAAATTTTCCAGAGGTGTCATTTTGGCACCTTGTTTACAAATTGAGAAATTAGGTGACATTTGAAGCGGGACCAAAAATGTCACGGTCTTAGCCAAATTGGCAGACCTGATCACAAACCTACTTCTGTGTAATTTTTTAGTATTTTGTTATCCATCAGCTGTATAAGAGTACATTTTATTATTAACAGTGGAGTGGTATGAAACTCGTTACGCCGCTTAGTTCAAACGTTGCAAATTTTATTGCAAAGTACCTTGTTCGATGGCTCATGGAGCGCTTTGTTTTTTTTTTTTTGTTTTTTTTTTTTTCACTTATTAACATTGATCTTTGGGGACACTTCAGTTTCTTCTAACTCTTCATTTATTGCTTTTTGTTCTTACATATGTAGATACATACATACGTAGATTTGATGTTTTTCTGCCTCTTCATATTTCATAACGTGGCATGGTTACTGCAAGGTTGCTTGTTTATAAGTAGTCTCTTTGCTTGTGTATACTCATATGTATTCTTAATAAAAATGCATCATTAAATAAAAATGAAAATTTTAATTGACATTCAAGTAAAAATATTAACACAAAGAGATAGAATGGCGGGTATAAATGTTTGTCACATAGATACTACTTACTACCTTGGAAATTCATGTCATAATGATAATTTTAATTAATAAGCCAGGCTAAGAATGAAAACGTATCTTAAGTCACAGCTGGATGTCAATCAAGTTAAGTAGGGTTAATCGTAGTTAAAAAGTTGTAAAGCAGTATTATGATAAATTCATTGTCGATTTAGTGGATTCTTAGTTAAGGTTTGATTTTGCTATATTTCTTTAAGAATATAGTTATGTATGTATTTATTTATAACCTCCATTATTTCTGATAGCTGCTTATGTTGACTTGAGTTTGATAAAAAGTTTTTATTTTACATATTTTATCATCCTGTATTCCTTTAATCACATTTGCTTCGAAATAAACACAACGTCTATTTATACAGGCTTGTACATAAATATATTTACATACAAACATATGTATGTATATTGGACTGAGGCATTTTTTTATTGTATATATTTTTCTGCGACATTCCAATTCACTCATGCGTTCTGTGTGAGCAGCTGCGCAGATGTTGGCGTAATAGGGTGGTTCTATCTTTGTGCCGAGAAGTAGTGCAGAGTCTTTGTGACACATTTTGCGAAACATACACAAATACAGCGAAAAATAAAAATAAAATAAAAAATAGGAAGCAAAATTCAACTTGCTTGCCGGAAGGAATGTGGCATTAATTGCATCGAATCAATAAAACAATTGATATTATTTAAAATTAAAGGAAAGTGATAAGGGCTAATCTTTTCTGCGATTAATCTACGATTTTTTCTAAATAGTCTTTTTCCTCCCCGTCATAACTAATTTACACGATAATCAGAAGGGAATAATATGGGAAGAACCCAAGGTATCCAAATAAGGCCTCAATGATGCATCTAGGAAAATACAGTGCGCTAAGATTAGGAATCGAATCGAATGGAACATTAGGGTATACACGATTAGTTCAACGGCACCTAGTGTAAGGATCTCCGCCGCCAAGATGTCACCTCTGCTTAAGTAATAATCTATTAATTTATCACTTAATCCATAATTATAACATTATTAATAGTAAACAATGGCCATGTTTTATAGAATTTGTGTACCGGATCAACTTAAAAATGTTAGCTTTTAAACTATTAAGAATACAATTAAACTATTGAAGAAATGCGATATGTATTTGATTTAATGTAAATATTTTAATAGGGAGCCCGAAGACCTCAGTTGTTGGTGAGTAGTTTATATAATTTCATTATGCAAGTAAATAAATTGTAAATAATAGTAATAAATAAATAATAACTTGCACGATTTAGTACTTTGATTTCTAACTGTAGGGTTACCCTGTGCATATTATTTTCGTTGGATTGCATGTGACGGTTTTGGATAACAACTACTTCGAGAATGCGGATAAACCGCAAAGCTACTTGCATACACGCACATGGTGATTAAACTATACCCTGCAGGAAATGAAAGTTTAGAGTTACATATAGTATATGGGTATATCCATACGTCACGTACGCGTAACAGTCGTACGTTTCGCGTACAGTCTATGTTTTCCTTATTTGTGCGAGATTAAAGCTCGCTTTCTAATTGCTGTAGCCATACAGAAAGCTTCTTTCGAAGCGCTTTTGAGTTGGAAGAAAGGAAGAAGTTTTGATTTTGTATTTTCTATTTGATTTTTTTTTAATTATATAAAAATGTATTTTTATACAAATCGGTAGAAGCAGGTCTAACCATTTTTTTGCCGCTTTTCATTGACGGTAAGTTTTTCAGTATTTATGCAGCCGATCACAGGCGAAAAGCTCCTCTCCGTCTCACTAAGTGTGAGCACCGGAAGCTTCACTGCGCTCTGCCTTGATTTGATCGGATCGGCTCGGTTTCTATTAGAATGTACCGTTAGGTAGAGTCGGACAATTCAC